ATAAATTTCTCATCAGCACACAATACATTTATACTCTGATGAGAACATCAAACAATTCAGTGTAATAGAACTAAAATTTCACACGAACGAAACAAATGGCTTGCCTTTTTTTCCATATTTCAAAGTTTCATCTAGAAATGCAAAAGTTACCCAAGCAACTGGTAAGATGCCCAAACGGGAGGCCCATTGGGAAGCCACATTGGGAATTGTGACAAATCTGCCCAAAATCAGGTCCGAAATCCTCTTTTCTACCGTAGTTTTCATGTAATCCGGGTAAGTTGTGAGCAATCTAGACGTGGGAATTGGATCAAGTTACCCAAAAAACTTCCCATCTCAGAGTTCCGTCTGCCCGAAATCCCGCTTCCCACCATGTTTACCCACCAATCTAATATCGGAAATTTCCATTTTGTGGGTAATCGCCTTACACATATCGTACAATGTCAACGCAGCAACGCTCACTGCTGTCAGCGCCTCCATTTCAACACCGGTCTCTGCCTTCGTTCGAACTATCGCACGGATTTTCACTTCATTCCTTTCCTGAAACACCATAAGTCATCGTCAACTTACCCACGAAAATGGGTAACTTACAAAAAAACTGTAAAAATTTGTAAACCTGCAAAAATTTTATTCCAAAATGGGCAAATTTTACAGAATTCTAACGGATTGTAAATGGTAAAATTGGGGAAAAATTACCCAAAAGATTGCAAAAATTGTAAATAAATAAATAAATAAATAATAAATAAATAATAAATAAATAAAATAATAATGCAATGGTCAGTTCAAAAGATTGCCTCGATCAGCTGAAAGCTCAGCTGGATATCGCTTAGGAAGATATTGTGGCATAGCGGGATCAACGACGGGGTAAGCTTCCCAGCCTGTATTCCCGCAACTCGGGCAACTCCCAACGCGTCACCTTTTTTCAACTGATTCTCTTGCAAAGCCCGCATAATTTCACCAGTTACCTGAAAATTTTTCCCGGGAAAAGTGCATATTCATATAGTTGTCGAATCCGAGATTCAGCTAACCTTAAGTGTACCTTCAGCTATAGCGCTTCTAGAGGTGGCCACTTTCGCGCTCACATCCACCATACACGCTTTACCAGTTGCTTCGTCAACGTGCGATAGGGTCTTACAACGAAAGTTTCCACTCGGGGATACGGTATGAATAGAACGTTTTACANGTCAACGTGCGATAGGGTCTTACAACGAAAGTTTCCACTCGGGGATACGGTATGAATAGAACGTTTTACAACTGTACTGTTACTATTACTACTAGCGAACGGAAGATTTTGAAAATTTGTAAGAATAGTACCTGAAAATTCCAAAAGAAAACTCATTTTCCATGAGAACAAGAAAAATGGGAATGGAATGGAAAAATTCCCGAAAAATACCCAGGTAATCTAGTCTAGGGGAATAGATTCCCCGAAATATTATTTATACGGTAGTAATTACCCAGAATATTATGTATACGGTAGTGATTACCCGGAATATTATGTATACGGTAGTAATTACCCGGAATATTATGTACACAGTAGTAATAATTACCCGGAATATTATGTATACGGTAATAATAATTACCCGGAATATTATGTATACGGTAGTATTTACCCGGAATATTATGTACATGATATGATTGATTTGAAGTAGATTGCTGAGATAATGTAATTTGACGATAATTTGAAGTAGATAAATAGTGATTATTATTTTTGCCACGAGTCT